CAAAGGCAGAAAATCTATGAAGGCAGTAAGAATGAGAGCATATTTAAAAAAAAAAGGAAAACATCAGTACAATACATGCAGACAACATAAAATGACAAGATCACCTATCTGTATCTGAAATTGCTAAAATTTCATGAAAATGCTTAAGATTCAGAAAATACTCTGTCTTTTTATGAAAGAAAATATTTTCCACATAGATCTGGATTTGCCTTGAAAGTTGCTGAAAAGTTAACTTTCCTAGAAGAAAAAATATTTTCTTTATTTTTCTTTATTATGTTACCTAAAAACAATGTATAAGATAGCTTGAGATAAAGCGTTAATGATTTTATAATTAAAAAGGCAGAATATGTCTATATGAGCCATTTAGAGCAGCAATTTTAAATTTTATATTTATTTGTGTAACTATAAAAACAAGTCAATGTTTCACATTAGATGTTTTGCTAGCAATGGAGAATAGTTATTCTTCAAAATAAATGTTTCTTTCTGCTTTCCCAAATTGGTCTATAAGCTAAAATGTACATGATAGGTGCAGAATTGCTTCTTCCAAAATCCCAAGATTATTCCATATTTATCAAAAGGATTGTGCAAGAAAAGTGGCAGTTGATAGAAAAATAGCCCAGAACACAATAAAAGATTTGAGGGAAACCATCTCCAGCATTTCAGATACTGACTCTAATTGCTGGAGGCTGAGAAAACAGAAACTGTTGAATTTCAACAGATAAAGACAAACAGTGATGAATAAAACAAAATATTATTTTCTCACCTATTTTTTTTCACTTAAGAGCATGTGACAGCCACAATTTATCTTGTGTAAAATATTTGGCATCTGGTAACAGCCATGCTAACAGATGGAATTTTGGTGTTATGTGTATTCTTTTTTATGCATGAGAATTGGGAAGACTGGATGAAGGATTACCAGAATGTGAAGATATTACCTGACTTGCAGCAGAAAAGGGGTTATTCTCACCTCCAGTTCCCTTTCCTTTCTAAGTTTGCTTGTGAAAAAGATGGAATTTGAGGTTTGGGAGGCATCAAGGCAAGGCTGCATGCTAAATGTTACAGAGAAGGCTTAAAAGCAGTAGCTCAGAGAAATTCCTAGTGCCTTATCTTCACTCTTATTTTGATTTCCAGGTATTAGGATATGCCTTGACAAAACATACAGCTGGCTGAATGTATTTTTTTTCTGGTGAAAAAACTTTAGCTGACCTATGTTGACACTAACTGCATTTTTTTTTTTTTTTAATATTACATACTTTTCTATACCCCAGACAAGCAGGAAGTAACTCAAGATTTGCAGTCATCTGAAGGAGCATGTTTGTGTTGGGAAGGCCTATCTGAGGTCACCTGTGGCTGTTAAACACCAGAGAAGAGAGATTTCACTTGCCATTCCCCAGCTGAATCTGTTTTAATAATATTTATTATTAAAGACATCCATTTTACCTTCCAAAATCTATAAAAAGAGAGACAGGCAATGAAGGTCATTTTAAACATCTGTAAGCAGAAATGGCTATTGTCTATGGCTTGTGTTATTGTCTGACTTACATAAAAAAGCAGGTCTTGGATTTACTGACCTGCATTGTTTTGCAGACTACCTTATAGTCATTTATGCTTTTGTCCCTCTAATTTTTTTTCTCTGTCATAGATGAATTAAAAATGCATAACCAACTGCCACTGACATCCCTGTACTGACATGTACAACTTTTTATTACAATTAGTGATGAGAAGCTGCATGGAAATAAGTCCCAATCTCAGCGGATTCCTGGTAGAAAAGAAAAGCTATGGCTTGACAGACTAGGGACTTTAAAAAAGAAATCCTTGCCTAGATGATGCTGAGGAGGCAGTGCAACAAATGCAGAAGACAGAAAGCTGAAGCAGTAATGGTCAGCATGAAGCTCAGTGAAGTAGATTGTGAGACTCCTTTTAGACAGCACAGGAAGACCGAAGCTGTTGAGTGCTGTCAGGACAAGAAAATTACTTCAGAAAGCACCTTTAGCAGGTTAAAATACAAAAACATAGTAGTATTTGGAAATGTTATGAAGGAAGAAACCTTCAGGTTTAGTCAGACCTGTGGCTGTGAATTCAGAGGCTGAATGGGTTTTCTCTGAGTAGGAGGCTGTGTGACTAGCTGGTGGTTTCAATGACTGGGATCAGCAGGAATGCAAAATCTGAAGCAGAGTGACTACCAGACCCCTGGGACACAGTGTAGAGAACCCTTTCAGCCATTGAAACCAGATGATTTTTTAAATTTATCCTTTACTAAATTATGTTTTCTTTACTCTGACCAGCAAGTTGGGTAGTGCAAGAGAAACTGTATTTCTATGCTCCAAGAAGGTAAGTGTGTAAAATACCAAAATTAAATAAAATCCTGGAAACTAACTTGAAATTCAGCATAGTTTTACTTTTGGTTTATGCCTATCATAGCCACAATCTGAAGAGGCACAGTGCCTGATTGTACATAGGACCAACAACATTCTGCATCAAAATGTGAGTGTGCCCAAATGAACCAAAAACCCTGTGGCTTGGAAAGAAAATGTTCTCATTACTTTTTCATCTTTTATATATATATATATATATATATATATATATATATATATATTATCCTGTTTTCTTTATTCTCATTCAAATGGGGTAGTTCTTGATTTGTTGTAAGATAACACACAATATGATAATGGTAGAACAGCTATCATGGGGAACAGATCAGTAAATGGCTTTTCCAGATGACAAATGATGCTCCACTTGTGATTCATCTAAGAATATGTGCGCTTACTGTGTTAGTATCAACATTTTAATGCTGTATGTACACACATATCTAGGAAAAGGTTGAACTGTGACACAGATTCCAGATTTTCATTCTGTACAAGGCATCCTCTTATTTATTGGCACAATATACTGGGCTTCCAGGTGATCTCCTTCAAGTATTTTCAATAAATGGGAAATGGGAAGGGAGGGTAACACCTAGGCAGGAACAAATAAACAGAGAATAGCATCTGTCAACTGCTGGAAGAGAAGGTGGAACACAATAGTTCAAGTGCAAGTGACTCCAAAGCTTTTTGAACTGCCATGTTTGGAACATGAATTTCTGGTTATTGTGAGAAGAGGCTATAAGAGCTCACTGAAGTGTCTGAGTAGAAAGCAGGAGAAACATTAAAGAATTTGTGCACTTTACCTGACTGAAAGAAGCTTGCTCTTTGCTTCAGATCTACCAAGCTCATCCTGGTTTGGTTTTCTTTTTCATTTTTGCTGAAGACACTGCCACCTTTGTTATCTTCTGATTATATATATGTTGATACTGAAATGAAGTGAAAAAAAAGGAGGTTTTGGAGACTGGGTAGAGACAGTATGTCAAAATGTGTGATCTGAATAATTAATTCTCAGTGTTGTTATGTATTAGAAACTTAAAGGGGAAAAAGCTCCAAATATGTATACTGGGTGAATCAAAGTATTTGGCTTTCAACTTGTCTTGGCCCCTTCAAGATTTATTTAGATTGTATAGAGTCTGATTTAGAATTATGACAAAATGCCATGTTAAAGTGTGAACCCTTTCTCTGGGAGATGCTCTGGAGTCTGCCATGTGTCTACATTTGTGTATGAAATTTTGGTTAAAGAGAGCAAAATCAGAATGGCTGTAGGCTTGAACACAGGATCAGATCCTACTTGGATAATGCATAATACAGAGGAAGCATAAGTTGACTGGCTTTAATTCCACAAGAAGACAGTTCTTTTTGTCCGTCTGTTTTCAAGGACAGTCTAGTTTAATGTTTTAGAAGCATTAAAGGAGGTAAAGAAATCTGCTGTAGGTTTCCTTTACTGATTTCTTTCTGACAGTTTAATCCAAGAAAATCTATCAGGTTCAAGGCAAGAATTCTTCCATGTGCCAAGTGAAGCTGATGGAAGTTAATCTGATTGACTACAGACAGGTATCCTCCCAAAAAATGGATGCTTCTTTTCACAATGACTGTGGACAGTCAGAGGTGCATACATGTTTCATATTTTTAATATTTCTCTGTCTGTCCATAATAGAAAGAAGATACTTGTTATTGAGGCATGAAGTTTCAGGTTCCTAAACAAAAGTATTAATGTCTTGACAACACACTTTTGCTTCTAAGTTAGTTAATTTATGATATAGACCCACATTTTGTTCAAAGGCCTAAAGGAAACTAAAAGTGACCAGTGTCTTTGCAGTAACAGCTTTTCACTATAAAATGCAGACAAGTATAAATCCCTATTAAAATTTAATGCTATGCTTTAGATAGATTTTTCCCCCTTATGTTCTAATTGCTATAATTTGAAAGTACCTTATACTGGTGTAATAGAATTAATGTGAATGTAAGGTCTAATGCCCTCTCTCAATCCCATTAGACAGCTTTACGTGCTTTTGTAGGCAGGCGTGAGATCAGCGCTGCCCCTTCAGGGATGCAGGATGGAGCCTGTCCAGCTGTGCTGTACAGGGCTGTTGGCAGCCTGTACCACCTTGGGCAGCATTAGGGGAAAGGCAGCCTCCCCTTAATGACCTTTCTATTTCCAGTCACTTCTATTAAATCTACCCCTTTCATTGTCATAGGTTTTTAGTAACTCACAGCAAGTGCATTAACAGTGCTTTTCGGGTTACTGGTGAAGGTTATCCCTGCTTTATAGAGGAAGACCAGAGCTTAAGTGATTTCATGAAGGTCACAGTATGTATGATCAGGAAAAGTGGTGGTTTTGTTTCTGTCTCAGCTTTCTCCCTTGCATTAAAGGTAAAGTTCATGTGAACCTTTTCCTTTCACAGTGCTATGATTGGGGAATAAGTGTGTTACTCAGTGGTGTTGATCTGACATCTTGATAAAGAGCTTGTTGCAGAAAACACCTGTAAGGGTAAAAAACAGACTTGAAAGAGCACTTCAGCAGACAGTTCAGAAGTCAGCTGAACACCTGCAACTCTCCCTTATAATCAATACTTCAAAACATTTAGTTAGAGGAGATTATGTCTGTAGTTTCTACATTTGTCTTTCCCTTGCCAGCTGCAGAAAGAAGTACGGTTTTTTTGCCACCATATAAGCTCTGATCAACAATAACTTGGTTTTCCTTCATCATGCCTCTCTGTACTTGGATGCTCTGGAAAGAGGTACGACCAATGTTTAACTTTCTGTCATAATTTGATATGGATGGAGAAGGAAGGTTGATCTAAACTTTACCTATGTTCTCTCTCTTTTTCTTCAGTGGTGTGTCTAGTTACAAACTAGGAGACCATATTGAAATTTTTGCTTTGCAGACCTCTGATTTTTTTTGACATAAGGTTGATTTTTCATTGTATATTTCTAAGTTATGTAATTTAGAAATTGTGAACATTTAGTTCTGCTAAATTTGTTTATAACTAAATCAAACAAGGTAAGTAATTGACTTAGAAAAGTTTAATTGTAGAATGCTGAAATACACACTATTAGGCCTTTACTATGGTGAAATAAAATTTGGCTATAGCCTAAGCAACTACATTTCTTTTTTTTTTTTGAAGTCTGTGTCACATGCCTGAAAATAATTTGCAACTGTTTATAGCAATTATAAGATAGCTGGTTTATGTGCTTTTAAATATACTGCTATTGATTACTATTTTTATTAAAAATCTAGCAGAAAAGGAGAAAAAAAATAGTTAAAACTTCATTTTTTCCCCATAAAAGCCCCTCATCATTTACAGAATACCTAAAATGTCCAGAAGAAAATGAATGAATTAAAGATGATATTTATTTTAATGAAGACTATTAATTTGATTTCAGTCCTATTACCTTAGAAAATTGGCAACAAGACAGTTAATAAATGCTTTTATTGACCAATATACTTCAAGAAGACAGCAAGAGGCAGGAGCTTTATTTACACGTATAAAATTATAGGATTTAGATTTAACAATTTAACAAATAAAATGAAGTATCTGGCCTGGCTTAACCTGAAATGTTATCATGTTTTATAGAAGTCAACACAAATTTTTTTTTCTGCTAGGAACAAATATTTCCTTACAATGTTTGAAAAAGTTCCTGCTTTTACCCTTAAAACTTCAGTTTTAAAAAATAAAATAAATGCTTGATCATGAAATGAAATTACCAGTTAAGAAATGAAAAGTCAAAATAACGTGAAAACCAATAAAAATAGTATGCTTTTACTTTGTTATTTCTTAATTTTATATTTTTCCTTTATTCAATAGAATCTGATTTTTTAAACAATTTTAGAAACTATATTTTAGGTCACATTTTCCAGCTGCCAAAACTGATATTCTGCATGTAAATCTGCTCTCCCCTCTCCTTTGCTTCCCAGCAACATGTGCTGTTACGGTACTACTTTTTTTCATATGTTTAGAAACCAGTGGACAAAATGTACAAAGAGAAACTTAAAGGAATTGAGTGCTGACTGGGGGAAACTTGCCATGAGACTCTTGCCATGCATCTCATGGAATGGGACAGATAACTGTGTTTCAAGCTAAGCTACCTCTGAGGGAAAAAGAAATTTAAAAAGTCTGCAGGAACCAACTTTCTTTCAGGAAAAGGCAATTTGATTAAACAAGCATCTGGGACTACAAAATAATAAAACTAGACACTTCAGATCTCAGTAGTAAAGCTGCATTTTTTTTTCAGACATAATACCAGAGTACAGTAGCAGTGAAAGAGCTGCTGCAGCTTGAAGAAGAGTTCCAAGGAGTGCTCTCAGCACTGTTCTGTCTGCAAAAGGCAAATACAATCCTCTTCACTTACATGTGTAGTTTACTCAGAACAGCTGCTCCACAGTGCTGTGTGGCTGGTTGGTGACAGCTCTCTTCAAAATTTATCTTAAACGTTAAATGTTTGCACTGATTGCAGTTAGAGTTTGTCTAGCTTTCATACTTCTGGATCAAATGATTTTCCAAGTATTCAAAACCCTTTCCATCAAAGTTCATTTCAACAAAATGATGTTCAAGATTTTGGACACACTCAAGCATACACTCATACCTATCCAGTCACCTTGCTGTGCTAATGATACATTAGACTCCAAACCTGAATATTCTAGTCCTAAAACACTATTCTATGCCAGTTTAATGGTAAAAGTTTTCTGTCTGAGTAAGTAAAATAAGTCACACAATACATTGCCACTTTGAAATATTAATAAAAGAGATAGAGTACTTAATAACATTTGTTTTCTTTGATCATTTTCTTCCTCTGAAGAGAAAAGATAAAAAATTTCATCTTCTGGCCATGTTCTTGTTCCAATTCCATGAGTTTTACATTGCTTAAAAATGGAGTTATGTTCTGAATTCCATGAGGGATGCAAGCATAGCTGCAGGTTCTAACATCGTACCAGATAAAAATGATGAGCAATTGGGAGGATAGTACCATAAGGAGAAGAAAGTTTAAAAATCTTGGAGTTTACACTTGCAAGTTCCACAGTTTTCCTTCTGTAGATATTATCAGACACCAAACTGAGAATTAAAAAAATGGAACTTTCAAAACTCCCCCCCAAAAAAATAACCCTACACGAATGTACCACTTCTATTCCTAAGAAACTATTATATTATTATTGCAGTAAGATAAAACATTGTCATTTTAATACCTTTTTTGGCTCTTTGGCCAGTAACTGCATATTTTGAATTTTAGTATAAAACTCTAAAAAGTTAACATCAAATTATGACTGCTCTTGGGCTTCTTTTTTCCTCATTTATCCATTAATTTTTCCTCTGTGAATGTGCCTACGTAACTTCCAACATGACCAGTGGAGAAGGAGGTCTCTCCCTTCAGGGAGGCATCTGCTGATGAGCAGGAGTATTGTGCCATCGAGTCTGGGCAGACCAGCTGACCAGCTGTCTTCTTCCCAAGAACTATGTTATCAGCTCTGTGGATTTGATTTCTGCAGAGCAGCTGTGGCTGAGTGATGTGTTCATGTAGAAACACATCTGGAAGGCTTTTTGTACACTTGTATATAGGGGCCTACACCAGGGACATCTCAAGGAATCTTCATTGTGTGGGTTTTACAATTCCTATGGCAAATGAACTTTTTACTGTTTGGTAAGTAGGAGAAGATTATATTTAATTGAGGGAATCTAGCTGAATGTTATGCAAAGCTAATCTTATCTTTTTCCACTTAGTATGTAGGTTAAAAGCTTGAGTATGTGACTGACTGTAAAATAACCCATCAAGATCATTGCTTGAACTGGCCCATGGGAAGAGATACTGCCTCTGGTTACTTAGGCTCCTTTCTGTTACTAGGTTTTGTTATGTCACCCAACATCTTTTTGACGTCACCTGTGCCTTTTTCTATTAATAGATAAAATGCCATTCAAGTCACACATAGTCATGCGATATTAGCAGAAATCAAAGCTGTCAAACCCACAGAATATATTAATCTCTGATTTGTTTGAGACACCCCTGAAAAAAGGGTCTCAGAAAGAGGTACTGACAATAATACCTACAGATGACAGGTCTCTGATCTTTCATTGGACAATGGCATTAATGTATGTATGTGTAGTGCCATTCTGCTATGTCCACTAACCCTTTTTAGGAAATCCAGTGCCTAGCGATGCACCCCTATCCATACTCTTGCTTGGCTTTTTAGCTATTGTAAAGAATTTAAAGCTTGGCTGATTTCATCAGTTCATCTTAATCCACAACATTTCCCATCTGTGCCGTGCAATATGCAGAGAACTTCCCTAACACTCAGTGCCTTACCTGCTCTGCAGTCATATATCCAGAGTACTGAACAATTACATTCTCTCTAGACAAAGGTGACTTGATGTATACTAAGCAGAAGGTTGCACTCCCAGACTTTATTGACTTTTTTATTAAGATGTGATGCCTAATGAAATGGTAGGGAGTTTGGCTTTAGTAGGCTTTTTTTTACTGTTCAATTTCTCTTTTTTAAATTTTGCATAATGAATATTAATCTTCTAACTTAATTGGCTTCATTGATTTTTACGTTATTATTTAAAACATTTGCATGAGTAAATAACAAGTATTTTAAATCTTTTGCTTCTGAATAGGAGTTGTAATAAAGAAGAACACAATGAAAAACAGTGCTTAATAAAAGGAAAATAACTCAAGCTCAACAAACTTATGTTTGTGAAAAATTAAAATCTGAGCACTGGTTGTGTATTTCAGCAAGGTGGGATATGATCAGCAGTCAGCACTTGTTTAAAGGCAGTCAGAATGGAATTCTTGTTCTTTTCTAGTCTGACACTTGCTTAATTCCCATCGCCATGAGTACAAATATTAGTGCTTATTTTTTTTACTGCAGGCTGATGTCTACCTAACTCTGGCTCCCTTATCACACAGTTCTGAGATCCATGGTAATACACCTCTGATTTTTTCTTTCCTGTGAAATCAGGAGTCACCCCAGTGTAGCTGAGCAGTATCATGTCCCAGAACAAATCTCTAGAACTAGTAAGAAGGAAACACTACTGAATTACCCATCCATAGCTTAAACTTTTTTTTTTTTTTTGAAAATGAGGGACAAACAAGGCATTGTATAATTCTTTTTTAATAAATGATTTAGTAAAATTTTCATTCATGGCAGACTATTAAAATTATTTTAGCATCTTTTTATTTTCCCTCTAAGCCATTATTTAAAGCTTTAAAATGTTCTTCTGTTAGTAAAATTGCATACTACATTAATCTGTCCTAAAAATGCTGAAGTTTAATATTGCAATTATATAGTTAGGGTAATTAAATATTTTAATTTCTTACAGTGCATTCACAGCACGTGGTTCAGAAAACAAGAAATAGTACAGAGACTTTAGATAACTTCTTTCATTACCAGGCAAAACCTTCTTGAAACGGTGCCTTTCTGACTTTGTGCTGGGATGTTAGCAGAAGGTTATCTTCATAGGCAGAAGCAAGCAGGCAGCAGCACAGGGCAGACAAAATTGCTGTTCCTCACAGAAAGAGCTGTAAGCTGAGCCCTAAGTGAGCTACACAGAGCTCTGTCAAATGTAGGCAGTGAGGATCTGGCCAATTCCAGTCTTTAGAAATACAAGGAATAAGAAGAGAATGCCACAGGAACAAAATCATAATGACAGAGTCTTCACTGCCCTGAATCATGTATCCACACAAGTTTGCAGTTTTTATCTTGAGAATCCTCAAAAC